ATCAACGTTCCGGAGCTGTGGCCTGAAATTTGTTTGTTTCGCAGGCGTCCGTACTGGGAGAAGCAGAGTCAGATACCGTGGTTCTCGGATTCAACGTTCCGGAGTTGTGCCTGAGAATTTTGTTGTTTGCGAGCTTCTTGTACCTGGGAGAAGCAGCGTCAGGTACAGTGTTCTCGATCAACGTTCCGAAGCGTGTGCCAGAGGGTTTGTTTGTTTTGCAGGCTTCCTGTCTTGGGCGAGGCTGTGTCAAGTACGTGTTCTCGGATCAACGTTCCGGACCTGTGCCTGAGGTTTTGTTTGTTTGCAGGCTTCCTGTACTTGGGCGAGGCAAGCGTCAGGTACCGTGTTCTCCGGATCAACGTTCCGGAGCTGTGCCTGAGGTTTTGTTTGTTTGCAGGCTTCCTGTACTGGGCGAGGCTGCGTCAGGTACCGTGTTCTCGGATCAACGTTCCGGACCTGTGCCTGAGGTTTTGTTTGTTTGCAGGCCTTCCTGTACTGGGGCGAGGCGGCGTCAGGTACCGTGTCTTCGGATTAACGTTGGAGTGGGCGTGAGATTTTTTTTTTTGTTTGCAGGCTTCTGTACTTGGGCGAGGCAGTGTCACGGTACCGTGTTCTCGGATCAACGTTCCGGAGCTGTGCTGAGATTTTGTTTGTTTCAGGGCTTCCTGTACCTGGGCGAGGCAGCGCCGGGCAACGCGGGGGCTCAAGGACCAAGTGCAGGCGCTGCGCTGGTTGCAGAAGAACATCGCCGCCTTCGGAGGAGACCCCACAAAGGTCACCATCTTTGGCGAGAGCGCGGGTGGGGCCTCGGTTCATATGCACATGTTCTCACCTATGTCCAAAGGTAAACATCGCGTCGCCAGCTAGGTTTTCGATATTATTAGCGCAGAAACATCGCGCGACGCGACGTCGCGTTTTTTTAATATAAAACTCGTAAGGTGCTAGTGAATGAAGTGTCCTCAGGAAGAGAGTTAGTTTGGTGAAGAAGATCTAACGTCTTTGTCGATTGATTGACACGTGATGAGGCCGACAGTGGTTTCCGAGAAGGCCACAATAGCAGCACGTTTTCCAGTAACGAAATCACCCTTGTTGTCACCGACTCGGAATGAATAAATGCGAGATACTGTCTAAGAGCTTCTTTCTCGCTTCTGTGGTCGTAAAATAAACAAAAAAACTCAGCACATTAAAAGAATACATACTGTGTTGGTATTGGATTGAGCTGTCACAAAAGCATAGGAATGAAATTTGGCAAGGGATGCAAAGCACAACGAGTCTGCCACTATCGTTATGCTAGTTTATAATGTTACGTTTTATTTTATTAAGACATGTTATATTGTGATTGATTTTACCGAAACAACTTGCATGTAACCCCATTTGTAGTAACATAAAATATGTATTTCTCTTACATTCTCACATACTATACTTACTAATTATGTAATATACAGAAATCGAAGGAATGCTACAGAGGAAACAGCAATTTTGTGGCAGAAAACGTGTTATTGTAGGTTCTTAATACCAAAAAAGTGGACAATTTTTATTCCTATACGTAGTAAATAACATCCTCTAACACAGTGTACACCTAGAACCTCTCTTGATACCGGAGAGTTAGTTAAGGCAAAACCTCTGTCAGGTACCGGCTAAACCATACCGGCTAAACCACTACCGGCTAAACCATAGAGAGAATTTCCATCAAAACGTATAATTCTCGGTCAATGATCCTGACAAACGTGGCGCTTTAATTTGAAACGAATATTTTGTTTTTCGAGGAATTTCGTAAGAATCCCCAACGTCGTTTTCAAAATTTTCTCAAAAATGGTTCCATTTTGTTAGTTTTTTTCACTTATAGAGTAAAATAAGCTTCTAAATGCGACACAGGTCCGATTTTTGTTGATCTCCAAATTCTCGAAAGTTGACGAAGTTACAAATAATGCAAGACCAAAATGTACTGTTGTAGTACCACTTTTAGTATAGGGGCCCTATAATATAAACTACTCTGTCAAAATAACGTCTAAAATTTCCATTGATGCATTACAATTCTTTTCCTCTACTGTAGAAGTACCACAGCAAGGAAGTAAAAATGTCTGCAAGAAAACGCCCTAGTCGGCCTAGCTCCTTTCCGGACACCACTGTTATTCGACAACAATTCTACAATTTTTCAGTTAGATTCTCATCGTATTACGTGTGATAAATTTACATAATGTTAGGTTATGCAGCATGTGAATTTATCGGTTAACTCTGAACCTCTCGTGCACTTCCCACCTTTGATGGTGTAGAGATTTTTAAAGGGGAAAATATCCAACGTACGCCTTGGTTCAGAGGGAAAGTAAAGCCAGCTGTCTCTATTTGTTTATTCACGGCATACAAACGATCTCAAGCCTAAAAGAAGCTTCTGAGCTAAATTCGAATAACCTACTTCTTCCCCCGATAAAACGCCCTAAACGTTTTTTTCTTTTTTAGATAGTGAAAGGAGCGTAGTGAAGTTGAAGAGCACGCCCGATGACCTGCCTCTGTGCATGAAAAATAAGGCAACAGTGAATTCAATTGAATTGAATTCCCTACGGCACATTTAACGCTTGAAATTGAGAGTCTAATTCAAGCGCTGTTTGTAGAGGAATTCTTGTGGCCGGCTGCTCTGATCGGTATTTTTCAGTGGTTTCTCCGATCAACACCAGGTGAACTCCGGAGCAGTACTCTAATAAACGGGTCATGGTCCACGCGCGAAATTTCCTTTCTCTTCCTTCTACCCTCACCAGTTACTTCCACACATTTACACTCACATGCTCCCCACTACCACACTTTCCTAGGGACTAGTCGGAAGTGTAGAGGTTGCCCTTGCTGGGGCGGTGCCATCCCGGTGGGAGGTAATACCTTGCTGAGGAAAACTTCCCGCAAGCCAACGTATGTCGAGGCCGGATCTCGCAATCTCAAGGTCAACGCCACCTATCGCAATGAAACACGCACTACACACACGAAACTACTGACCCTGGCAATTCTATCGACCAGACGTGTTAATCAAGGAATCGAATTGCCGCGCAGGGCTGTTCCACCGCGCCATCGCGCAGAGCGGCGCGGCCGTGAACCCGTGGGCGACGCAGACGGAGCCGGCGGAGACGACGCGGCGGCTGGCGCGCGCGCTGGGCTGCGCCAGCAAGGACCCGCACGATATCGTCGACTTCCTGCGCGGCGTCGACCACGTAGCGCTGGTGCGCGCCGCCAACAAGGAGGCGGTCCCCGAACGGGTACGCACACTGCTCACACACTTTTCGGGTCTATGTGCGTCTGCATGTCCGGGTGCCTGCGTGGTCCGGGTGCCTGCGTGTCCGGGTGCCTGCGTGTCCGGGTGCCTGCGTGTCCGGGTGCCTGCGAAGCCTTGAGTTGACCGAGCTAATTGCCTGAAGGCGTAGCGCGCTGATTTCGCGTTCGGGATGTCAGGGTTACATGTGACATTCCGGTCAGCGTAGCTGCAGAGTCACTTGCAATGCTCTCTAAGCTCAGTCAGTCCGGCATAAGAGAGAAATTAATAATAATATAACTGTCATAATAATAATGTCTCATATTATTTCAGTAGTATACATAACTTTTGTCTCCGTGCCGGTTATCCTGATCGGGGTTTTCGTGGTTTCCCTCGGGCATCCAGAAGAATGCTGGGATGGTTCTACTGAAAGGCCACGGCGTCACAAGCCGAATGCGGTAACTATGTGAAGTCACGAAGGTTACGGGAATTCGAGACATCACGTTTTGCTGGTTGGGTGACAGACTAGGAACTCTAGGATCTAACGACACCGAGGCCAATTGCCTTTTACGGAACATATAAAGGCTAAATATAAATACAAATATATGAGTTTGTGCCAGTTTGTCTTCGAGGATGTTTGTGCGTAAATCAGTTTGTGTCTGTCAGAGTTGGTCTGTGTCAGAATTTGTTTGAGTGTGAGTGTGAGTGTTCGTGTATGTGAATATGTGATGAACGTGTGTGTCCTTGTGTGTTAGTGAATGTGTCTGTGTGCAGTGTTTAATACATTTTTTTTCTTCTTTCGCCAAATATTCGTGTTCTGTAACACTCAACTACTTCAATATAGGCTTTTAGTCGTTTTTTGTAACCCAACTGAACCTCCTAAAATAAATCGTTCACTTCATTATAACAAATCTATTCTCTTGTAATTTATCATGTTTAACACAAACGTCATTACCTATTAATTTTCACTCACAATTACCCTTGCCATAGTCAGTGGAATTACACTAAACCAAAACTACTCTGACCTCTCATCAAAGACAGTAAATCACATAAAAGTGTAAGACTGTCCCCTCGCATAAGCCGAGAAGTAATAAGGCATGCGTTTCCCTGTTGGATCGATGTCAATTTTCAATTTATTCCCTGCGCAGGATCGGGGGCGTCTGGTGAAGTTCGCCTTCGTGCCGACCCCCGAGCACCCGGTTGAAGGCGTGGAGATGTTCCTGCCTGCGTCGCCCATGCAGCTCATGAAGGAGGGCCGACACCACGCCGTGCCCTTCATGACTGGCATTACCTCGCGGGAGGGACTCCTCACTCTGGCCTGTAAGTCACTCAGTTAAAGGGAACCGAATGATTTCTATGGTGATCAAATTTGTATTTGGCCCCGAATGCAGTCACGGCGTGGAGGGAAATGATTACAAGGACACACCTGGTTCAATGTTCGTTATCGATACTGGCTAAAGAGGCTCAAAACTGTTCCACTGCAATGCCTCTGACCGGAGATCGTAGGGTTTGTGTCCCGATGGTGGATTTTCGACACGAGCTGTACAGCTGTATCAAATTCAACGCCATGTCTGGAAGATAATCACAGCGGCCGGCTGTAGTAGTTTTCCTTGATGTCTCCCATCAATACCTGGCGAACGCCGGAGCAGTACCCTAACAAACGGCTGACGTACCGCAAGCGTAATTTCCTGGTTTTCTCTCTCCTTAGACTCACATAAACCGAACATTATACGTACTAGGCACAAGTCGGGAGGTCAGTCGAGAGTTTAGAGCTTGTCTCGGCTGGGGCGGCGTCAACGAAAAGATCGAATTTCACGCGTTAGCGGGGGGGGCGTAACCACGTCTCGCGGTATACGTGTGATACTCCTAAGGGCCATGGAAATTGATGGGACAATTATTAGGGTTTTTCATGCGCGTTTGACAGCCTTACAATCGATTGACGCACGATGGCACGCAGTCTTAGTCATCAATGGCACTTAATTATCCAAACGTTACTCGCGGTTCTACGCTTTTGAAACAAACGAGTTCAGTCACCATGTCTCAAAAAGGGATCGTGAGATCCCATATCAGGGTTTGATAACGAGCTGTGATGAGTTAATTCAATGCCGAAATCTGTGAATAGATTAATTTAATGCCAATGGTCAATTAATGCAATGAGATGGTCAATTCAATGCCGAAATCTTGATAAAACAACTTTCTTAACTCCACCCCTTTCTGTTATGTTCTCGCCTATCATAATGATGTAAATATTTTGTAACGTAAAATAGGAATTTCCATGCGTAAGTCGAAAGGAGTCGAATAATACATTATACTTTTGAGACGTCTATCAAGTGAAACTAACTTATCCGCGAAGTTTGGTGTCGTTACTTCATTTAAAGGCATACTGAAAGGAGATGTGTAAGGAGGAAATTATTCGGTTTGATAATAAATCTCTTATTCGTCTCTTCCCAGTCTACATCGGCATTCTATGAAATAAAACGACATTCCCTCACCCATGAAAGACTAATCACAGAAATGCAATGCTTAGATTGCACGTTTATAGAGACTTGAAGAGACTTTAACCATTAATAATTCATTAATTATTGTTACAAGAATTGCGTTTTGTAGTGCCGAATGGTGCGTTAACATTAAATTTTACTTTAACTCATCGTTTAACGACCTACTATTAATTTTTAAGCGCGATTATTAACATATCTAGAAACTGTAAACGCTATCTCCCCATGCACGTTCTCTAGCGTATGTTCATTATACGTTTGCTTTCTGCTATGTGATTTATACAGATTCAGTGAGTCTTCGTGAAGTTCTCAACTGCAATAAGTAATGATTATAATGCAATAGTATTTGCAATAAACAACTTTAGCGCTTATGTCGTTGTAACAACGCTTCTTTTACCTTTTCAACGTTTGGTAAGAAACTTTGGTTTTAAAATCTTTCCAATTATAATACACTATATGGTCATTTTCCATAATTTTTCGTGTATAGTTATATTTTCACGTGATTCATTTTCATTTTTTAGGCGACTTTTTTTTTATGTCCATCCTGTCTATTGAGCAATTACTGTAATTTGACCTAGCACATCTTCAACCAAATCACATGCTAACTCGGCTGGTACTGAATTTCTCAAACAAAAATGTCAATTCTCTCGTAAGTCTGGATTATAATAGTAATCCACGCTATCACTGAAGGGTTGAAAAATTAAAACAAATTTCGGAACGATGTTTGCTGTACATTTCCAGTAACAGGTCGTGTAACTGGCACATAACATATTCAAAACATTGTAAAACAAAAAAGCAAGTCATTAAGTTGATTTTTATGCTTCGATGAATAGAAATTACGAAAAAATGTTAACGAGTCCAAAATTTTTAAAACTTGGGCAGATTACACTTAAAGACTTACTTAAAAAAGAAATTTCGTTTGTAATTAACTATGTCGCAATTTGAAACGTGTTTTGGGCTATTAACACAACATTTTATAGTATATTTTAGTTTGTCGGAAAAAAATTGGGCACCAAAGCTGATGATATATTAGGAGTACATTGCGCATGCGACATGAATTTGTAAAATAAACCCTTAGCTACTTCACGGTATCGTTAAAGACACATTATAGTTTTCTACAATTTATTCCTATTACGTACCAAATGCGTTAAGAAAATATATCTACAAACATTCCCAAACCAAAAATATAATGAAATACATGACCCTAGAGTACCAGTCGTATTATTAAAATACGAGGATTTTCTGAACACCTTTCTATTCCAACAAAACAATCATTCAAAAATTCGTCATTAATACATTTTCATCATCATTTACGGACTGTCATCTTGTAGCAATCTTGATTTCTTGTCATTCACATGCAGTGTAGAATAGTACCCTTTTCGAATTATGACTTGCTACTTATGTTTACGAAAACAACATTTCTTTGGTGCGATTCCGCAACCAGAATTTCGCAACCAGGTTCATGTCAGTATTTTATCTTGAGATTTACTATCTTGATCCTCGGAGTCAAGTCCGATTTGACTCCAAAAATTCACTGTATAATTTTCAAACATCGCTTTCATTAACTGTATTACTCACAATACATCACACTATACATTACACTACAAATTCAAACAGTGGTTCAACCTGTAACCACTAATGGACTTAAATAATTTAAATTTTAAACTGCCACGCAAATAGCATTAAAGGCAGGAAAACCATCTGTGTCCCTTTTTAATCTATAGTGAATTTCTTGCGCTGTAACAGACATCGATACACAAATGTAGTGTAGCAATAGCTATGAACATTTTACAAGTTATTATTTATGATTGTCGCAGTGTCTTTGATAAGTTTTAAAAAGATTAATACATCACAAATGCGGAAAATTCATAATTTAAATTATGTGTTGATAGATATACTACGACCATTATTGTCCATCTCTCGCTAAGAACACGTGATTCCTAAAATGTTCCGCCAGAGACCAGTAGCTGTACGACTAGTCCATTATAATATAAAGTTAGCCTGTACTAACAAACCCCAATTTCCGCCGTGTGGCAAGCGCCAACTAAGCACGCCCGCGCTGTGTCTTCCAGTCAAAGATTACCGCGACCAGGAGGTGGGCGCCGCGTTGGACGCTGCCTGGGAGCAGAACGTGCTGCCGGAGCTGCGCCTGCCGGCCGACGGCCCCAAGAACGCGCAGGCCCTGGCGGCGCTGCGCCGCTTCTACATGGCCGGCCAGCCGCTCAGCGAGGCGACGCGCGACGGATACGTCGACGTACGTACGCCCAGCCAAGCGCACACCAGGAAACGGCCTTCAGCTGGATGCACGAGCATAAGTGGATCGGGGCATCGATTGAGGTCCACTGACAGGGTGGTCCTAGGCTTCGAGTATCACCTACACTGACCACTGGCACTGACCACTGGCACTGACCACTGGCACTGACCACTGGCACTGACCACTGGCACTGACCACTGACACTGACACTGACCACTGACCACTGACCACTGACACTGACCACTGACAGGGTGGTCCTAGGCTTCGAGTCCCAACGGTGGCAGGATTTTTAACACTAGCTGGATCGAAATCAATGCTGTCTGGATATTTCTTGCGTCCGGCTACGTTTAAGGTAGTTTTACGTAGTTTCTCCGATCAACAACAGGCGACAGACCTGACAACTACCCTGACCCTACTGACAAAGGTGTCTCTGACAGCGTGCGATTTTTCCTTTCTATCGACACCCCTTTCTTACGCACACACACGTATCCCACCACACGTACCAAACCAGTCGGGTACTTTGAGCTTGTTCCCGCCGGGACTGTGTCTGGCAGTTTTCGTCTCTTCCTCTTGATACAGATTTCAAGATCCAATAATCATAAAAATTTTTAACAGAATTTTAGTAAGAGAACATGTGCAGGTACACATCTTGAATGCCTACAATTTCTTTACGTGATCTATGGAAAATGTAATATTTTAATTTTATTTTATTCGTTTTTAAGGCGGTTCAGAGAAATGGGAGGAGAAATGGTTCTGTCGGAAGGAGAAGTTGATGTAAAGCTGTGTGGTTAGTCAAAATCAAATTTAACGAACATGTGCAACTAATTGTTAGATCAGCCGCTTTACTTCTTGTAAATAAAATAACATAGCTCATAAATGAAATTTTGTAACAAAAGTATAGTATGTCAAAGTCGGTTTACGTTTTGAAATCGGGTAAATGATGTATACGAGTAAATATTTGTTCCATCCAAAATTTATTTCCTTGCACAATCTATATATTAATCTGTGATGAGAAAACATTGCATCCATTTTTAAACATATTACATGCTCGGAGGAGTATCAGACTTGTAATAGTTAGTTTTTCTCTAAATAGAGTGCGTATAGCTCTTCTGCAATTTACAGTGTTATGAATATATTTTACATTAAATTAAATAATACAGCGTAGATACAGGCCGCAACGCGCCGCAATACTGATATATCGTACAAAACTCACAAACGATGAGTTTAAAAGCCTTCAAAACTTATTTTCGTGTCCCCTTAAGAAACACGAGCTTCGTTATCAATAACTTAATGTACAAAACGAGACCTTTTTAAAAGTTTTATTTTAATCGTGGGACTTATGTTTGTAGGTACCTATTTTTTCGAAAATTGCAATTCTTTTTTAAAGTTTGTAAAATTGCATTTTTTCCGTTTTCCTAACATTACAATATTGAACAATGGCATTTTTTCTTAAACAAAGTGTTGTTGAAAGACATCATGATATAAAGTCATGTACAGATGTTCAAAAAAAATAATTTTAATGTGCAATATTGAAGATATTTGACATAAAATTTATTATAAAAATTAAATTCATTACAGGAAGGTCATGCATATTTTTTAAATATAAGTATTATGGCGTAATTTTGCATTTTCGATATTGTAGATTCGAACTTCCCGCAATTATTTTCCTACAGTCTTTCAGGAGTGATCTGGTTGCATTTCAAGTATAAAGACGCTGCGACATGGCAGTTTGAAATTCTCATTATAACTTCTCATTGCTGGGCGGTGTTTCTTGGTGAATAGAAAAGAGTTTTGGATTGTCAAACTTGTGTTCGTGTATTAATTTAAGTTTTCCTTCGTAATGCCTTACAATTGGTAGTGAGTTTTACAAGTGATGGCTCAAGTCTATTACACGAGCAAAAATTGCGGGATTATAATTTTACGTTACCCTTGGTGATGCGAGAAACTACGTGCTGTTGGAGCACGACAGTTTAGTTCTGTCACTTTTCTTGAGTACCGACAATATAGGATCAATCACACGAGTGAGTCATTGAAAATATCACCAAAACGTCACTTTGGATGTACACGATATTCTTTATTTCTGGCATTCCTGGTCCATAAAAAAACAATAAATAAATTATCTGAAATTTGCATTTTCATCAACTTGACATTGGAATGCTTCTGCAATTTTATACTAATATCGGAATCTATCTCTTCATTTGTTTCCGAAGAATGATTACCCATTTTAAATTTTTTTCAGAAAAATATTGTGACGGCGTCTCTCAATTAAATTGCTCAACTGTGACAGACATGTCTCTCTGCAGTTACTCGTTTGCGTGCCGGCTAGGTAAGATCCTGCAAGATACCTGATTCAGAGGAATAGAATGGGCTTTATTAAAAAAATGAAAATTTGAGCTTCAACTTTGAACACAATTTTAATACAATTAATAGCAGTTATGAAATGATAAAATTGAATTAATTCGTTAGTTGGTTTAGTCTTAAGAGTAAAATTTAGAATCATGCTACTAGATTACAATCGAAAGAAGTTAGAAGACCAAAGTGCGCCCACGCCAAGTTATACATATTGTTTAGGTCTTCCTGATAGCTTTCATAAGTAATCAAAAGTCCTTGTAATTCTAAGTAGCTTGAAGAGCTATTGTAATAAACCTTTGCGAGGTTTACAGTTGGCAAACTTCACCATTTTCTTGTCTAGCGACTCGCTCCATCGTCGTGGCTGCGGGCGGTCATCGCTCCGTCAGTTGGCTTCCAGGGTGAATGCCCCGTCGGGCTCCGGTATTCTTCCGAGTGGTGTGGAACCTGCTGAGGTGACCCCTTCGGCGATTCGCGACGAGGTTGTTCATTCACCAAGGGCGGCGGTGGGCGGTCGCCTCGGGCCCGCGTCAAGCGTCGCTGCAGTGTCCATCCCTTTCCGCGATCTGTCTTCGCTTGAGGGAGCAGTTTGTGAATAGTTCACGGAACTGCGCTTGACCACCTTGTTTGTTACGGATCGGGAACGACGCCTGGGTATTAATGTGCTCCGAGATTCGGCAGACGCGATTCCGTTACAAATTCAGTTAACAGAATAGCAAGGTCATATAATATTTTTTTGGATGAAAGCGATCTCTCACGATCCACTAACTTGATGATGAGAGCAATCATCTACCGCGATCCGCGACACTCGGCGACCAGAATGTCTCTCTCACTGTTCGCGATCTGGCCAACTAGGCGGCTGGAAATCTCATTATCCCGCACTCTGCGCAACTCGGAAACTGAACCTTTCTCTAAGGCGGTCTGAACTATTCTAATTTTTCTTCAACCCTTCTCTACTCTCCAAGCTTCTGAGAACCCTTACCATCTCCAAGCTCTGGGAATCAGAAGCTCTCAATGGTTAAAATCAATTGTGCTTTAGAATTTTTCTCAGCCAATCCCTGCGAAGCAAGTTCTTGACTGGAAAACTCAGTATATATTCCCTTTCTCTCTCGCTCAGAAAATGCTAACGCAGGGCCTTAAGGTGTGGCGCTTGCTATGTGCAATAAGAGTCGCCCATTTATTTATTCCTAATAATTTCTTTTTGCCGTGAACAGGCATTCCCAATCTACGCAGCGCCGTCCGCGCCGGGACACGAGCGTCGTAGTGGGTTTGGGGGAGGGGTTGCAGACAGACGCCTGTGTAAACATGGGTGGCAACTGGGGGAATCAATACCAGTTGATTATTTCTTCAAAGTATCAATCTTTGTCATTTGTGTGTCGTTTCTTTTCCAGAACGCTCTTGTTTGATGAAAAATAATCGATGTTCCTTGCCGTTCCTGCTAATTGCTCTCCCAAAGTATTTAACGAATATTTCGCTGCCTCAACAATGGCTAAGTCATCGAAACCTGCTGTTATAATAAACAATATTGTGGGCAATGACGACTTGTATAATTACTTGTAAGTTAGACTTGTAAAGTTATTTCATTGTAAATGGCAACAAACTTTCACCACAATACCAATAATTTATAAGATGCCATTGGCATAAAATCTACTAAATACATGTATACTACTGCTGGAGGAATGAATCCTCCGTCAAACAGTGCATCAGAGTTAAGACAAAATGTATAGTTTTTTAGTTTCACCCTCGAAAGACTTTCCCAATCTCCTATACATGTTACGCTACAACACTTGTTACCATCGCACGTTAGTTCAAAAGAGCTTATTTTAAGCTCTGAAAAGCAGAAACTTGGGCCCCTGCGGGATCCGCCTTATTTTTTTGGTAGAAATCTACAAAATGTGACATTTTCAAACCTTCTTCTACAGTTCTGAACGTTTAGCTCATTTAAGTAACTTATTCCTTCGAATAGCTAGTCAGACACCAGCAGAATTTCGAAAATTATTCTAAAATGAAATATACAATTTTATATTGTATGTGATTTAATTGCATGGATCTAAGTATCTGTTATAAACAAAAGTTTATAATATTCAATTTTTTTTATTCATTCTCATTATAGTGCAAACGTACATGCAAACGTACATGTATTACAGGCCATGACCGTTCAAAGTTGGTTGTAGAATAAACTTTTAAAATTATTCACAACTCCCAGAATGTTCGCCTGTATTTGTAAATTCACTTCCTACTCACATTCGTAGTTTCCTTATACATTTACAGCCGAGTTTGCTAATTTATTGTATCTATTCACGTTCGCGTATGTAAATTACACGTTTCCGACGATATAGCATAACTCCGCTGATAATCACCGAAATGGAAATGGAGAGATGCTTCTGCCTGATAATGCGATCATTATTTTTTATCTTGTGCCTACGCATTACGTTCAAGTAAACGTCAAATGGAAACTGTTTTAAGAAACTATTTTTTAAACATCTCAATGAATAATTTGTTTTAGACTTTTTAAACATCACACATTGACAGAAGCAACGTAATTCTCCGAAACTAGCACTTTCTATACCATAAGATGTAATAAATCACCAGTACAACACAAGACAATTATACGACAAGATTTATTTCAATGACAATGGATTATGCTTGTTTTTTTAGATGTTTTCCGATATCCAGTTTGGAGAAGGTGTTGATTTAGCTGTGAAGTACTTGGCAAAAACTCCAAAAGCTCCAGTCTACCTCTACTACTTTATGGTCGATGACCAACTTAATTTCTTGAAGCTGGCATGGAAATTGAACGAACATGGTAAGAATAATCTCAAAGAGTTACACCACAAACACCGAAGAATTAATGAGGTTGTGAATATAATTTTAATATAAAGAATGCTTCCAACCTTCTGATAATATTTCTTGCCTGTCGTTCTTACCTTGGTTCTGGTAGCCCGCTTGTACGGCTGTGCAAAGATAGTTATCTTAACTAGCGCAATGTGGCTGTTCACGGTCTGGCGACCTTATTCCAAGTGCGAACTTACCACCCGCGTAAAACGTACTCTTGTCCGACCGTCGCGTAATTCCTAACAACTTTGTAAATGTTTGAGAGTTTTAATGTGAGGAATACGAATGTAAATAATGTTATTTGACATTCCACGTTGTATAAGAAAAGACAATGCGATACCACTGTTCATCCGAAATGAGCTGCACGTGCCGCAATGTCCATGAGAATTAGCATTGTCTTTACTTGTCTATTCTTGAACCAACTTGAAAATCATAGAGATACTCCATATAAACCCAACTCGTCGCAAAGCCCCTACAAATTACGCTTTAAATAACGACACTCAAGTGTCTCAGCAATGCCATAAGCTCCAACAAAGCGCAAAAATGAGTTTAAAAACATCAGTGAAGTTTTCCCCTTCATTAGTGCTTCCAAGCCTAACAAAAACATGTCTTGACGCTAATTAATAATGTCATTGTAGTCCTTTTTCAGGTTCTAAAAATAATAGAGAATATTTCATTGTCTCCTAGAAAATCATAAATTCACATTTTTCAGCCGCCATGGAAAGTATACAATTGCGTGATTAATTTGACCAAGAACAATTTATATCATTACCCCTGGCTTGCAGATTTTGAGTGTCATTTATCATAATACAGTAACATTTTCTCAAGTAGGTTGATATTCTCACCGCTATTTTTTTAAAATACTATCAATGGGTCACATAATATTGTAGAGAAAATCTCATGACGAAAACTATATCCTCCTTCGCCGAAAAAACTTTCATAGCTGCCCGCAATCTTAAGAACATTGCGCTGAGGAAATTTTTCACCATCGGTGTCAATGTTACCGTAATCAAATTTGATTTTTTTTAACACTTAACCTTACTTTTTCTCAAATATAAATATGTCTAAATGATATTATTATCATACACGGCAAAACTTTATCCCAATTTTCTATTTAGCAGTATAAACAAAATACCGCATTTACTTCCAGAATGTTTTTAGAATTCCATTTATTCATAGTAATAATATTCTCTTGCAGGTGCCTGTCATGCTGATGAAAATGGTTACCTCTTTTACACGAATCGCTGGGACCCTGACCTTCCCCCAAATTCAACAGCAGTGTTGGCCCGTCGGAGAATGCTACGGCTGTGGGCGAACTTCGCGCGAACAGGGTATGTTCACAACAAAATAACCGAGACGGTGGCTCAGGGCATCAACTGATGTCACAGCAGTGCCTCTGACCGAAGGGTCCAAGCTTAGTAGTTAAGTTGAATTCAAGCGTTTGGAAGATAATTCTAATAGCCGGCTGCTCTGATCGGTATTTTTCCGTGATTTCTCCGATCAATACCACACGAATGTTGGAGCTAAAAAACGGGCCACGAACCGAGCGCGATCTTTCCTTCTTCTTGCTTGTCCTTTCTCTTACTTATACTCGCACTAACATGCACTAAACTATCACACGTGGAGGGAGGTCAGTCGGGAGCTTAGCGCTTGTCCCGGCTGGGGCGGTGCCCCGCTTGTGGGGGATACCTGGCAGAGGAAAACCCCTTTAGGCAACAGTACGTCGGCGCAGGATCTCACCATCCAGCGGGGAAGGGCGATCACAGCCATTTCCCGCAATGAAAACATTTACGACACTTACGGGCTAATGGCCGTAGCAGTAGACGCCCCCGAATTCACTTAACAATCAATCAACAAGAAAATACATCAAATACATTTGTTGATTGGTTTCCGAGTAAGTCAACTGTTATGATTATTAATCCCGTTAGCGTAGTTAATATTCTACCACTTGAGATGGAGGCGTTCCTTCCCCAGGAAGTATCAGGCAGCAAGTACCGATGTAGAAAAGCACGTGGAAGGAAATTCTTAGAAAAAGTATACCTCTCCAGGCCCTTGAAATTATTGCTTAAAACTGTAATTCTCAATACGTGTGGCACTGTCAGCAACTTTCTCTAATCAGATAAATGATGTCAATACCAAAATACTGGACGACAAAAAACAGTCGTTGGAAAATAACAAAGACGCAAAATAAACACGAAAGAAAATAAATGAATGGTTATAAAATTATTATAACAATAACGAGCTTTTTAGTGGTGAGATAGACTTACTATATCACATAATTCCGGCCAATTACTTAAACGCAATTACAGAATTACATTGTTGAAACTTTAATTAAGGAGAGGGAGGGCAAACTTTACGTTACTCAACCAGTACGCTTTTGCAATTAAATCAAATGCAATTTGTCCATTTCAGGAACCCAACGCCCAATGACGATTCGCTCCTCGGCGCACACTGGAAACCTTACACGGAGCACGAGCACAATTACCTGGAAATCGGGGCAGAGCTACGGCCGAAGATGGAACTCAACGCCGACCGCGTTGCATTCTGGGAGGAGTTCTACAAAAAATACAGCTCCTAAAGTGTTAACTCTTTTCCTCCAGAATATTGCCACAAGATTACCCAAGACAATGACCCGAAAGTATACTTCGCGAGAGCTGCAACTACTGAGTTTTTGAAGGGGTAATTACAAGGTTGTCAATGATACGCTCTCTTCCTAATTTAATTTAAGACATATAATCACTATATTTATTTTTGATTACGTCTCTTTCAAAAACTGTGAGAACAAAAATAAAATAGTCAAAGACAATTATTATAATATAATATTCAATTGTTACTGCGATAATCAATACATTCTAACTAGACAATACGAATGTCATTAGGAATAATATTCTTATAAAATATCATTTTTAGCCATGGGAAGGATATGTATAGAAAACATTACGTATTCAAGTAAAAATTTTATAAATATTTTTCACAAGACATCCGGTATTTGGGGTAAAAGAAGGATCTTTTCCTTTGAATGCTAAACTCTCTCATTCAGGTTGAACAAGGACTTTTTTTCGAAACCCCACGATACATGTGCGCCCACATTAGTTTTATCTAGTTAGAACATCGATAGTGTAACTGCCCGTTAAAAAAATATTTGGGAAACTATGAATATCATCTTACGTCGATAAAGTAAAAACTTAACTCGAAAAAAAAGCGAATAAAATAGGAAACGTGAGTATAAGTGTTTGCTACAAATACAAATTTCGTTATATGCGACTCAATTCTGGTCTGAAAAAAAATAATTCAGTAAATCACTTTACACGTATGAGAAAATATTCCCAGGATTATAATATTATGAAAGTATTGCACATTTTGAAATTACAACCCAACTAAAAAAACTTTTTTATATACTTAATTTATCTCAATTTTTAAATGACTCCCGCTAATGTAAATAATAACATAACATGAATATATTTATACATTAGATGGATAAAGTTATTGGGAGACATAAATGTACTATTTCATTACTTGTTCATTATTTCAATAAATATGAGAAAACGGATTGAAAAATAAGTTGAATTTCCCTGTCTATTCTGTAGTTTATAGATTGATAATGATCGCGAAATTCATTATCACCATTATTACTATTAATACTATTACTGTTATGACATTACTTTCGCATTTTATTTAAATTTGCCGACAAAACCTCTAAGCGCTTGAATGCCCTGTATGAAGCAGTGCTAGCGCTATCCATAACATAGTCCAGAGAAATTAAATTTGGCAAATGTCATTGAGGCCGAAAATTACTTACTTAAGAGCGGGAATATATTTTCAGCAAGTATTGATCTTTATAACTACAACACTCGACGTAGCAATCATATTCATCAGGTGACAGTATTACTCGCGCAACATTTCAGTAGTTCGAGGAATCTCCTTTGATGAATCTTCACATGCTTAGGACATTTCTTTAATTTGTTTTGGAGAAGATAACGGATAGAAGTACGTCTTCAACAGAAATAGTTTCTATTTCGCGCCAGTGAAGATGTGTTTGGAATGTAGTTTGGAGTGTTATCAGTGCGCGCTGCGACCTTTTGCCTTAAACTGTTTGTTGTGCCAGAGAGGGGGAAGCAAAGTCTTCGTTCAAGGAAATTGCGCGAGTAATAGCAACAGCTCACTACAAAACTGCGCATACAATACATGTACATTATTTTACAAAACCTTTCCAGGTGACATTAAACGATTAAATTCCATACACAAGTTTAAGTCCCAAGTAAAATCTTTTCTGCTGTACAACTGTTTCTATATAATTAGACACTATACGAAGCATCCAAAAAGAAAGTAATATTAATTTTAACAATGACATTTAGTGTATTATTTACCATTTCAATTGTATAATTCTAAAGTACCCGTAATAAGTATTGTTCATCAGCTCTAGGTCAATGACCCCTATCTCGATCAGGTTTTCGTGCAGTTTCCCTGATCCTCAAGCAAATGCTGAGTTGGCCCCATGTTTTGCTTTTGGACATAAATGTAACTTCAAATTAACTTCTCCTCATAGCACGTAACACGCAGTTTTAACTTTTTTAACGTAAATAAATAAATAAACATGATTGCCCACTTCAAAAATTTTATTGACTAATCGTACGAATAATGTTACTGACGAATCTTATGTACTACTAAAACCCTTGAAAGACTGTATTGCCGAACAAGAAGAATTACATTTAATAAATAAAAGATAATAGACATTGCGCCCACATTAAGTTGCAAATTCAGAAAGATTTTCACACAATTGCAAAAAACAAATCATATTTAAGTAATACACATTCCGCTGATTCACAGCACCCTAACCTAGAAACAAATATTTCTCAGTTAAAGTAGAGAACACGGTATCCCCTTAGAGAAGCATGACAGCAGCCAAAAGAGGAAGAGGAGGGGATGGCGAAAGGGAGGGGATGTGGAGGGGAGCCTCCCTAAGTCCACCCTCAAATTACGTTAAGCGCTCTGAAAGAAATGAATAGAACTTATCGACAGGCGACACTCACCTGTCGTAAAGTTTTATTTATTTCTTACAGTTACGCATAAGAGCGGCCCCTATCTTCACTTTCGCTGGAAACGATCACAACTCCTTTCGCTAGGCCGACCTCGTCGGACATACACAGGTCCTGTAAATAGTGCAGCAATCAAACCATGTTCTTGCACCCAATTAATTACAGCCAACCCCCACTTTTCGGCGCCACGTCGTAACAAACCATTTATTCTCACTCGATACTCAAAAACAATGTGGCAAGAATCAGAAGAGCACAAGAAACGTAACTGTCCGACAGCAACGTAGCTAACCACTAGATACCCCGACACACGAAATCACAGGGCCACGCCACTACGTGTGCCACAGTATTTGATAAGATACTATTGTGCGACAAGATACTATTGTGAAATTGCCTTCTCAAACGTATTACGCCACGATAATGACCAATTACAAACCATTAAAATTATTACATTAGTGGCATTTTTGCAATTTATTTAGATCACTCACTCTTTCGGTGGCACATTTCACCGGCGAAGCGGCCGCTCGCGCGCTTTGGAGCTGCTCCTATCGTGAACTGTAGCAGACTGACACGCTTACAAATGCTACCGCAAGGTGTCTCAGCAATCGCATATACCATTCCAAATGTATATTCAGTTCCCACAGTGCATGTTAGAAGATACATTTCGAGACCTTAATCTGAAAAGTTTAATCTGAAGCCACAGTTCATCTTTGGAATCATTCAACTTGCCCATAACCACGAGAGTTCGCAGTTGAAACTGGACAACATTCTTTCTGCTTACGGTTATTTGTGGTAAATGAAAAAGTTTCAATTGGCAAATAGTTTGGCAAATTTGGTAAATGTGTTTTAAGCGAAAAACATTCAATGTTCAAACATGTAATTCATTTCGTTTAACATCCGTCAAACTATTAAGTATTGGTAATTTCATTAATTCGTAAACAAAAATGAATCTTTGAAATGAAAAATACAAATTCCAACAATGAACACACACCTCAAAAATCAAAAATGACGTTGATTCGTTCAAAGATGGCGGTTAACTACATGTTAATTACATGTTGAGCGAAACGTTGATCGTACTACGTTTGGACAACATGCGCACTTATTTCATGTGGAAATGGTTAATGAATTTACTGAAGAATAACTTATCAAATAACGTTTATAACAAATAATAATTCACCACGATTGCCAAATGTTCCTTGTGATTTTCCAAAGCGATGTCGTTGTGACAATTTAATATTTTAATAAAATGATTTAATGGGTTTAATAGCAGTTCATTCACCTTCCAGTCATCGTCCTATGATATATTTTATTACCAAGATTTTAATAAGATTAAATAATTTGTTAAGGATTTGGGAAAATGCTCAACATTTTCGTCTATTACTTAGAGGCAGGAGTAAACATTATTAATATACTAAGTATTTGAAAAATGTGTGTACAAATTTTGAAAGAGCAAGTATATATGATTTCATAAGCAATTCCATTTCGATTTTACGACCTCTTAAATAGTTATAGAGGGAATTAACATAAATCAATTAAAATCCCATGTTGTTTCCTTATTATTTTACTTTGCCAAAGAAGACCACGATTAATTCAGAACATGTCACGGTGTGTATCAGGTTTCATAAGTGTCTATTTTATTATGCAATATTAACGATATTTTTGATTACTGTACAATGAGCAAAAATCTTTAAAATTCAATAAAAACGCAGAGCATGTGTGACCGAATAAAAGTTGGCCCGAAATAATGACCAGACAACTACTTGGCTTAAATATACAAGAGCCAGCGGCGGAAAAGGGAATATCTAGTCTTCTGGGACTCATCATTATGGACCAACAAATGAGACAATGATCGCACGCGATCTTTCCTTCCTCTTCCTTGTCCTAACCTCGCCCCTCCAACATGTGCTTTACTACCAAACGTGTTGGGAGACCGGTTGAGATCTTAGAGCTTGCCCCGCTGGGACGAAGCCTCTCTGGTGGGAAATCCCTGGTTGATTCCGCCAGCCGATGGTAGGTCGGCGCCTGTTCTCACCATTCAGCGGGGGAGACCAGCGCCACCTTCAGATCAGAAACACGCACTACGCTTACGGGACTTGTGACCTCAGTTGAAACGTCGGGAATCACAAAGAATCAATCAAACCGACACAATTAGTGTTCAAAAAAATGCCACACCTTACTATTGAACAGATTACAAGAAATAAATATGAAACTTTGCTCATAATGTAATATTGTTTCTGAAAGCATAATGTCAACCATCTAGGTAACATCATTTTTCTCATAATTTAAGTCGAAAAGTCGTTCAATTTCGAAAAACACTTGTTACAACTTTGCTGCAATTTACCCACAGTTGAAAAACTGGTAATAGTTCCAATTCATTGCGCAAAACAATGTTCATTTAAACTTCGCTAAATTTGTTTAGAAATAAGGAACAAGGAGATATTGTTCTTCAGTGTTGAAAAAAATGTAATAGTTGTATTTTACAAATCTCTGCACGCGGTCGAAAAATGCTATACCTCAAAAACTTTTCAAACATAATTTGCGAAAATTCCTTTGAGAAATGTAGAACGTGGCAAACGAAATTTCGTCAAATCCGAGATGCACGCGCAGGGCACTTTTCCAAGTTCGTGTTGGTATGATCCTGTTTGTATCTCCAGAAAGTTTCACTTTACGAGTTGAAAAAATCCACTCTACCTCGAAAACGGAGCGATATCAAAAAGTATTTGAGGACATTTATTAAAGAATACCACATTTTTATAAGTTAAAACAAAACGATCGAACTAGGTGTTGAGAAATTGACGGCAAAATTATTTCAAATTTGGCGCCATACGGGGAATTCAAATATTTATAAGAATTATTTGGCGCTAATTTACGGCGAAGACCATACATTTCAAAGATTCCGCGAGTGAGGTTTTTTTCGCTCAAATCCGCCGGATAAATTCCAGACGAAAGGAATGGCATTTCTTTCAAAAGCAACTCTTTGAACAGCTTTCAAAGATCACCCGTAGATCACGCCACCTCCTAGCCTGCCGGAGAAGCAGCTGTGCGCATTGTAATATTTTCTACGAATCCGATTTTTTCCACATAAGACGCGACGAGATCGCATTGTTTGAAAATCTGGAACCGAGCAGTTTCGTAACGACCCACCTCTCTCATGTGTAGAAGTTAAGCAATACGCGAGTGTCGACTGCACTGAAGGTTGTATAATTACGACAAGTTGGTATCACAGTTCCAAACGGCATCGCACGATCCGCCTGCGAATCTCACTACGCATTAAAATCACAAGCTTTAAGGAGAGCGCTTTCCGTTCCCCAGAACCAGTTAACGCTATCACTTTTCTTCATTCAATACTTAATGATTCATACGCTAAGAATGCTATCTGTCGATGTTTTGAACTTTTTTGCAGAGCGACAAAGTCTAAAGAGAAGTTTTAGCAGATGCTGGGCAGAATATCTTCAGAAAGGCTCTCCCATTTCGCTGTTTCATCAAGGGAATACAGAAATAAAGGGTCTAAATAGTATTATCATTCGCCACTTTTAAATAAGTCTCAAGATAAGCCCGATTTCATTTGGTATATCCTGCTTTAAGAATCCG